AAACAACAGCTTTTTACGCCAAACTTTTAATTCAGAAACTGGCAATAGAGAAAATAACGAGTCTAGAAAAATCTATGACAAACAACCAAGCAAGAAGCACAAAAAGTGTTCCACCGTCTCATCCTCTTCAAGCAGTAAAACTGTTTGGAGGGGAAACTCAACGATAGTTAATTTGGCAGGAAAAGTTTGGCTGACTTCCAAAACGTCAATTGCTTTGCATACGTACAAAGTATAATGTTCCGTAACGCCGAACCACAAAATATTGACAATGTATTCTGTTCCAAAACGCATCCGAAAAGAGCAATCAACGCATCAAAAATAAAGTTGATGCTTCGTTTGTTATTGGTTACCATTGGTGTTTTAAAAATGGAATGTTCGGAAAAATTTTTCATGCTATATTGAATATTTAAAATATGCAATGTATGTATATGGTTGCATTGTATCACAACTCTGCATATACAAACAGTTTGAATACCGCAATATAATAATATCCAGACATTGTATTGATACGTTTTGGAAGTCAGCCTTTATGACAGTTTATAATAAATAGGTGTATACATGTGTGCGTGCATATGTATGTATATTATTAAGTATTAAGGTGGACCCTCTTGGATTGTTTGCTTTAGTCTACAGGCCTAAACACAGTTAAATTGATTAAATAAATAATATATTGCAATGTGGGTATCAGCCTAAAGAGTTTTAAGAAGACTTACAATCGAAAATATGTTTGGGGTACCAAACGAAAGGTATTTGAAAAATCTTGATTTGGAAATATTTTCAATAGGATTCTCACCTGTCTAAAAGTAAAGACTGAAAATATTGAAATTAAATGAAATATTACATAAGTGGTTCCAAACGAAAAGTGTTTGGGAAAGCTTTACTAGAGAAATTTTTAAAATCTTTTTACCTACCCAAAATTCGAACAGTTTAAATGAAGATAGAATTTACATCATCTTATCAAACGAAGTGATCATATTATCAACGAAGAGTTGGTACACAATAACACAATGTAAACAATTAATAAACTAGTAATTTTTAAGCAAAAACACGACCGACTTCAATTCTCATATACAAATTTAATAATATCGTTATTTTTTCATGATCCAATGATCGGATCTAAACCAAATTAATATGGGACCACCTGGAAATCGGTTGACGAGGTTCAAAGTTATGCGGTAACAAACATAAAAAAAATATTCCGACGAATCGATAACCTTCTCCTTTTTTTGAAGTCGGTTAAAAACTACTGAAACGAATAACAAAATGATAAAAGAGTAAAGAAAACAAAAAATTATCCCATGAAAGCTGTTTAAAAAATGCTTAATGAAATTAAATTTAAATTAAGTTAAAACCGTTGTCACCATTCTTCTTCTTCTTTTTTGGCACTGTAACCGCCTAACCGATTTTGGCCGAGTTCAGCAAAGCACGCCTGTCGTTTCTCCTCTGTGCCAACTGACGCCAATTGGAAACGCCAAGTGAAGCCAAGTCCTTCTCCACCTGATCTTTCCATCGCAGTGGGGGCCTCCCTCTTCCTCTGCTACCACCAGCGGGTTCCGAGTTGAATACTTTCAGAGCTGGAGCGTCGGTGTCCATTCGAACGACATGACCA